GGGGAATTTGGGGACGTGACTTTGTACCCATTGCATAGTGACGCGTCCTTTCGGAAAACATCTCAAGAGACGCAGTAGATTTTGTAAACTGAACGCAAAATGTAGAGCAATACAAATGCAACAACAAACTTTTTGGTATCCTCCTCTGTCGAATGATGGTCCTGCAGCGGTCTCTGTTTCTTCTGCGAGTTCTCCAGATTCCACAACCAATGCATCAGGTTTAAACAATCCGTCCGTACAATCACCTGCTGGCCCCTAGATCATCAAAAACTTTTTTACACACAAAATTGCCGGTACTTATTATTATTGTACAAATGAATAAAGCTTACTTGAATCCTCCCCAAAAATAAAGTCGATGAAGGGCGACATTCATCGCCAGCAGTTCACCAGTAAAGGCAGAGCTCCTTTCACCGATGTCCAGACCCCTAAATTCAAAAAATTTTTTTTAGAAATTATCCGAGGCATTTTCCTAATTTTAACATTCGGTACTATAATTATAGCATGATTAAGCCCTTACAAATTGAGTGGATGATTATTGCCGAAGAAGAACGCAATTCCTGTTCGTTTTGGCTCGTCCTTTTTCGTCTCGACACGGGAAGCATCTGTGTATAAGTATGGCGTCTTCTCATCAAAATTCCGATTGGCCCATGCCCATGTAGAGTCCTTCGTAAAGCCTGTAACATAACCAAATAAATAACCGTTATACAGCAAAATGTCAAGTTATTCAACAAAAAAGTTTATGGTCCACTAACATTCTATGAGTTTAGAATTGTCTAAATTTGAAAAACAAATAAACCTTTACCTCTCTATGATTCCTCTTACGCATATGGTTCATCAAAGCGTTCCTAGCTGCAATGGTTTTCCCGCAAAGAATGCATTCCTGCCGCTCAACCCTCTTTCTGAGATGCTCAATGTACTCATTAACAAATACCTAAATTACATACATACATACAAATTTCAAAAGAAAAATATCTACCAGGTTCTCAGGTGAGTCAAGGTTGAGATGATGCATGATTTAGCTGCGATTTCCTTTTGCAGTGTAATGTACATACATCTTTGCGTGAAATTGGCGTCTCATGCTCACTCATGTTTAAAATGATCGCTTATTCAGCTAACTCCTCGAAGTCCCCTATTTGATACGGTAGTTCAAAGAATTGAAGGCAATAAAGGCACATGGTAGGTCCACCCCATTTGGGTGAGTAACCAATCACTGGCACCTAAAGATCCAAAGTCGAATCAAACAAATAAAAGAAAGTTACCGTTCCGGAAAGAGTTCGAATACGGCCACGTGGGATGAACAAATTGGGCTTCTCAGGGCGATGACGCACCGTTTCATCATCGGTGTCAGAGAATGGCTCCTCGAGATCGTCATCTAGTTTAATGTAATACTCGATAAAGTCACTTAATTACCTACATTCCTCACTGCAATAATATCCATCACCGTTGCTATTTTGAGACACTGTATGTGTTGATGCCTTTGATTGCCTTGGCTGGTTGCCAGCAACTTCATTTTCACCAGCCTTGTTCCCTAAAAATTAACCATAACGTTTTAGCTATAAAAATACCATTATGAGAGCGAGTTCGACGTTTTTCGCCTTCAGAATGTTTGCTTTGATGAGTCTGTAAAACTGATTGAGCATAGCGGCCATTCTTATCCTAAATGAAACAAACATTAACTAGTCGATTTTACAATCGACCCTCCCTAACGTTTCAAGTTCGGGGGGACATTTTGACTCGACCTAGCCAGAACCTATTTTACGCGTTTTGTCTAGTCTGGTTTGCATTTTCTGGGGTATTCAAATACGCTTAATCTATTGGTGATATTTTAAGAGGTTTTGAGTAGTTTTCACTTTGTATTTCACCTCTTGCCTCATTTTCTAGTGTTGCCGCGCTGCAACAGTTATACTTTCAGAGACTTGTGCTTATAGAGAGGGGCTACTACTTTTAAAATACCTGTTGATCCTTGTCGACTTTCTTTCTGCCATCACCTTTTCCACGCGCAGTTTCTGCAGCTCCCGATGCACGACGGTGTTGTCGACTCTTGTTGTCTGATGTTGCGTCTTTGTGGCTCATCGTCTGAGGAACTTCAGTAGCGGCTGGTCCGTTCTTTTTCCTCCTCGATCGAGGTGATCTGCAAATTTTCAGCCACCTAAAAACAAATGTAGAGAGCAAGTGAAAACTTCTCACAATCTTGGCATCATTAAGACCTGGATCTGCCATTTGCATAGCTTGTCGTCAACGACGCAAGCCACCCGTTGAGTCCTTTGAAGGAACTAAAATTACAATCCGTTAGTAGATATAAGATCATGAAAAGAGAAGCATCGAAAGTTGTAAGAAAACCCCAGTGTATCGGACACTACCGCGGTGAAGACCTCATCTATGATAGGTGACCTCACCCTACGTCGAAAAAGGGAGGGGTCCACCACAGAAAATTTTTGAAGGCGGGAGGTGGCGTTCTATTAGAGGGTGACATCTTGTTACAGGTATTACGGTAGTGTAATACAAAATGCACGTATTGTTACCTTTTACATTTTGCAGACAATTAGCAGATCAAGACGGGAAACTGAATTCGTAATCACAACTTTTCACTGAGGATCCACTTTTCTTTTCACATTTGTCCAAGGATTGAGTCTTTTGCCCAAATTTTTTCTTACACTGACAATATTAATCAAATTAAAATGAATTTATTTACCGAGCTTTGCATTTAACAAAAATTTGCTTTTAGAGGATTTGAAATTTGCATTTAAAGCTTAAATATAGGGAATCGGAAAACAGATGGGTTTATTTCACAATCAACTCTCGGGAGATGTGGCGTCGGATCTTTTCTTGTTTTGTGGGTCGTGGGGTCGTTTTTCGAAAGGTTTGTTGTTTTTTTCTTGGATTTAGTTTTATTCTTTTTTCGTTAATTTGGCTCCTTGAACTTCGGAAAGCTTTTTCTGGGAGTACATATTTTTTCAATTGGTTCATGGGGATGTAGAAGATTTTATGTGAATTCATTAATATGTATTCCTGAAATACTTAGTCCGAAAGTATCGGAATTAACGATTGTCACCATTTGGTACTCATCCTAGTTGGGGCATCTTTTTTTTCTTTCAAAACCACTTATTCTGGAGTAATTTTATGCGTAGATTCCGAAAAACACGAGAGGAAAAGGCGTTTTAAGCAGAGTTTTTGGGGTCTCTCCGGGCACTCCCATACAGTGTAAGGAGAGGGGTACACGTAGGGAAGCGATCTAAAAATGGTCTCTTAAAACATTTTTCGGGAAGCCATAAACACTTCTTCTGGCATAATTTCACCTACTGATTACGTTTCGGATCAAATTGGAACAAAAATAAAAAAAATATTTTTTCCAGATTACGACCGTGTGGTACCTCACATGAGTCAGACGATAATCTCTGAAATTTTTTTTTCAATTTTTTTTGGCTCTTTATCAGTCAATTTGGGCTAGAAAATGAATATTTAGTGGTTAAAAAATGCATTTTGCCCCCATTTTTGATCTTGAAAAGTGCCCCAATAGTGGATACCGAGGGCCCAGATAGTGAAGTACACCATAGAAAAACGCGTACTCCTTGAAGCCCCAAAACTCGGTTGAAACGCCTTTCCCGAAGCTCACGTTGGGGTTTTTCGGAACCGACACATAAAATTACCCCAGGAAAACTGGTTTTGAAGAAAAAAAGTGCCCCCCCCCAACTATTAGGACCTGTCATCTTTTAAAATTTTGGTTCTTACTGAGTTAAGTTTTATTAATTCTCTTTTTTCAGATGCTAAAAGATCAAGCGCTGGAGGGGACTCGGTGAAGCACACAAGAGGGAGAGAAGAAGAAGAGGGACGAAGCCAAAGGAAGAAGGAGAAGAAGGCGGCAGCAAAACAGTGGCATACAGGACCCAAACATTTGGCAACGATCCTTCCGAAGAAGGAAGCGAGAAACACTCACAGCTATTGAGGTAACTTTTTATTTCATTGTGTAAATTTATGGCAGCCAATAATTGAAGGTGGTTCTACTAATCAATGGTTTATTTGATTATTTTTTAGGGGATTGGAAAAAAAAAAGCGAAGACTTGGAAAGAAAAGCGCATAAACAAAGGGAACAAAGAAGACTTTGGTAGGTTTATTTGTCTTTCAAATTTAGACAATTCTAAACCTTTCATAGAATGTTAAGGGACTATAAACTTTTTTGTTGAATAATCCTTGACATTTTGCTGTATAACGGTTATTTATTTGGTTATGTTAGGGGTTTTACGAAGGACTCTACATGGGAATGGGGCCAATCGGGATTTTTGATAAGAAGACGACATACTTATACACAGATGCCTCCCTGTGTTGAGACGAAAAAGGACGAGCCAAAACTAACGGGAATCGGCAATTTTTCGGGAGGTCTTCATCCGCTCACTTGTAAGGGCTCAATCATGCTATAATTATAAAATCGAATATCAAAATTAGGAAAATGCTTTGGCTGATTTCTAAAAAATAATAACTTTTAAATTTAGGAGTTCTGCCATTGGTTCAACAAACTCTGCTTTTGCTGGTGAAACGTTGGCGATTAATGTCGCTCTTCATCGACTTTATTTTTGGGGAGGATTCAAGTAAGCTTTATTCATTTGTACAATAATAATAAGTACCGGCAATTTTGTGTGTAAAAATTTTTTTGATGATTTAGGGGCCAGCGGGTGGTTGTACGAACGGATTGTTTAAACCTGATGGAGGAGTTGTGGAACCGCCAGAAACCGGAGAAGGAGGCGGGAAAGCTGTGCATGATATGACTTAAAAGAAAAGGATCCCGAAAAGTTTGTTGTTGCATTTGTATTTGTCAACATTTTGCGTTCAGTTTATTAAAATCTACTGTGTCTCTTGGAGTTGTTTTCCGGAAGTCGCTCTGCAATGGGTACAAAAGTCACGTCCGGTGATCCCCGATTGTGGAAACGATACGGTAATGCTTTTGAATATGTTATTATTTACAAAATGGTTTATATAGTTCTTCTCCAATTTACTCTTTGATTGGTTTTCTTAATTTTAGGCACGATGAATTAGCTCGAAAGGCGATCGATCTAGGCAAAGACACCTCCTCCCAATGAGGCAAGGGAAATTACACCCTGGAATCCAAATAAGCCCCCAAATTACCTTTGGCAAGTCCCTTTTCAATTTATTTGAAAGGAAGCAATTGTGTATCTAGTGAAAATAATTCGTATTTTTAGGTACCGACGTAACATCACCATTCAAGCCGCAAGAAATTCAATACGACGAGACTTCATCACTGGACAGCTTTTTGAAGGACAAAGAGCAAAACCTTTTAGATGGACAATCGTACGCGAGATTAATAAAGATCTGGAATATGTAATAAATATTTATTACCCTTTGAAATTTTTCATGACCATTCTCCATAACGGTTGATGAGCAAAGTTATCTAGCGATTATTGAGAATTTCCTCAAGCAACCCTTTTAATCCAATTATCTAGTTGTTTGTGCGAAATTTAATTGTTTTTTACTCAGGCGTAGAACGACGCCAAGCAAAATGCGTGGTTCGAAATGCGAAAGCTCAGATCATCTTCTACGGAGAAGCTATGCTAATGACCTAAAGTTGTGAGATTTTCGAAGCAAATGAAGCCGAGGGATGCGATTGAATTGGCCAAAGGGTGTAGGATTTCGATCGATACTGTTGTGGAAACCTTGGATAGTTTTGGGAATCACGTGTACGAGATTCCTATGTATCAAGGGATTCGTATTGGGAAATTTCCCCTCTATTCCTCCTTTCAATGGATTAGATGCCGATCTCCACTTCTCCATTGATTGAACGAATCCACTCGTGTGTCGAATTGTCGATGTTGATAGAGGACCAAAGAAGACGAAGTCGACGACGAAGACGAAACGAAGAAGACGACGACGACGACGACTAAGACGACGACGAAGACGAAGACGACAATGTCGACAAGAGCAAGTCCAACTTTACCGACGGACACGCGATCATTCTGAATCATTGAAATCTGTAAAATATTTGAATCTCGAGGTGTACGGAAGAAAGTCTTTGCTGAAATTAATTGAGAATTTCCACTCGAAGATTGAAAAAAAACGGTTAAATTAGAGGTGCATGATATTCACGCTCTGTTCGAGAAAATCAAGTGATCAGGGAGCTTTTGAGAATTTCATTACAATTCAGATGAATGACTGTGAAGAAGTGAACCTTGTATGTGATGAGTTTTCTTTGTTGGACTCAGAATTTAACTCCGGATTGCAATTCTACTTCGATGCTTTTAATAAGACCTCGATCATCTTCTTGCACATCACACAAATGAAAGAGGATCATCTTGAAGAGGCCGTGCATATAATCGTTAAAAAGAAGAATGCTGAGCAAGAATTTGAGGCGGCTGTTCGTGTTTATTGTCATTCTGTTGAATCCCCCAGGATGATTCCCCGAATCCTCGATTTTCTCACAACTCCCCTGAATGGAGCGATCCGACGGAGCAAATGAGCCAGAAGTCATCAAAATGGCGACCGAACACTTCGAAAGATATGTCGGAGAGGGGGAAGCTTGATTTCACGGACGCTCCTATTTTTTTCGACGAAACATTGACTCGAGCAGGGATTGTGTCTACATGCTTGAATGCATACCCAATCGGTGTTCTGAGTCTATGGACCGGATTTTACGTATTCTACGTTCAACCGCAATCGGAAATGATCCAATTTTGAGGGTTTTTCTTGAGTTTGTACAATTTTGTTCTTAGATTGTGATATTTTTCCTATTTTTAATGGTCTCTGAATAACGAGGTGAGAATAAAAGGAAATTTCTTTATTTTATTCAATCCTTTTTTTGAAAATGGGAAGGGGATGCTTTCAATAGCCGACAAGATATTACTCTACAATAGCCCTTTCAACTCCTCGATTTCGCCGAATACCTTCGGTTTGTTTTGACTTGAATTCATTCATTACAAATTTAGTGAGCTCAACTATTACACCCGACCGAACTACAAGAACTTCGCCGATTTGCTGAACGAGGTGATCATTTCTTTTCGCGATTCAGCCGAAACTCCGACCGGATTGTATCATAAAACAAGAGTTTCCATTTTGATTTCAATAAATATCTTTAACAATATTATTGCCAAAAATAGACATTCTCATTAATTCCTTTCACGTTGAATAAAGATATCTAAATAAAGATATCTAAATAAAGATATCGATAAAGATACGAAACAGTCAAATCTTTCACACAAATGCTTATTCTTTTGTTTTATGTATTGGTTTGGTGCAGGTTTGATTCGTTAAAAGTTGTGGTTTCGTAAGAAATTCCAAGGTTCAAACGTTCAAAGTGTGTTCGAGTGATAGCGATTTCTCAAAGACTCTTCCATTTGTATCCAAAAATGCGTACCGTAAATATTGTAATAGTACCCCACCCCATAATGACGGTGCGGACGCGTTTTTCTCGACACTGGTTTATTACTACAATGCGCGCGTAGGTATCAAAAAATAGCTGAAATTCAGGGCTATTTTTTGATACCAAAGACGCATTTTTGGAAGTACGGGTGCTTTTGAAAAAAATGAAATACTAAAAAACTTTTGCGACTACGCGACTGTACAAGGGGTAGGGTACTATTACAGTATTTACGGTATGTATACGCATTACACCTAACCGCATAGCTACCGTATCTTTTATCGTCAGACTTTTATAGATACAAGGAAGTTAACAAAAAATATCAAAAATCGTTTTCAAAAGTTTCTTTCAATGATTTTCTTATAACTTTCGATGCTTCTCTTTCATGATCTTATATCTACTAACGGATTGTAATTTTAGTTCCCTCAAAGGACTCAACGGGTGGCTTGCGTCGTTGACGACAAGCTGTTCAAATGGCAGATCCAGGCCCTTAATGATGCCAAGATTGTGGAGAAGTTTTTCATTTGCTTTCTAGAATTTTTTTGGGTGGCTAAAAATTTGAAGATCACCTCGATCGAGTAAGAAAAAAAGAACGGACCAGCCGCTACTGAAGTTTCTCAGACGATGAGCCACAAAGACGCAACATCAGATAACAAGAGTCGACAACACCGTCGTGCATCGGGAGCTGCAGAAACTGCGCGTGGAAAAGGTGGCGGCAGAAGGAAAGTCGATTAAGGATTTATCGAATCCGATTGTGTAAAAAATATGGAATGCTTTATAGTTAACACCAGGGAATAATTTAAACTAATTGCAAATTAATTCTGAAAACCTCGACATTCACAGTCACAGAAGAGTGTAGAGGCGCAAACGCTGATCTTTTAATCGGACGTCCGATTAAGAATACGTTTCAAATTGGACCTCCGAATAAGAATACATTCATAATCGGATGCTAACATATATATTTGGCATGTGATTGCAAGAAATTCTGAAAGATGGATGATTTTATTTGATTTCGAGAATTTAAAAAAACAAAATGCTTATGGTTTATAACTGAGATCCATCGAAACTCCACAAGGTCCCGATGTTGTTCCTTTGTATTGATGAATTGTCGGCTTTGTCCAACCACCAAAAGCCACGAAACTAGAAATTTTGCTTTAAACTATTACCTTTTTCTCGCAACTTACTGATCAAGATTCGCTTCTCCATTATAAATTTGCCCACCAAAGTGGATATTTCGATGCTCCATTCCAATTTCCCGTGATCTCCGGGTAATCATAATGGGCTGCGTAGATGCCCACTTTGACATTCATTTTCTGAAATTTTGATATTTCAACTTGATCTAGGTTGATCAGACTTTTTATAAAAGCAACCGGAGTACGGTCATTTTCCCATCTTATAGAAGTCTCTACCTCAGCTTGGTCGATCATTCCTTGAATAAATTGCTGATTGTGTTGTATCAGATGGCCAAGTGCCTTCAATGTCCATCCACAAGGTATTCATCTGAAAGGAGCTTTCTTTCTTTTGACAATCAGTCCGATTCATTCCATCGAAATCACCTTTGCTCCTTTAGCATTGATTGCTTTGATCGTATTCTCGACTTGTACGGCTCCCGATGGACATGACGATGTTGTACATGGATAAATATATCCATCCACATCTGTCCATCCAGCTGTAATTGTGATCTGCTCATAAAATTAAAATCATATCAATCATTTACCCTGTCGAGCGTTCAAAATGTTTTGTATGCCAGTCGTGTCGACGATGTTATTCTGGAAAAGGTATTGTAGTATGTTTCTAATGACTTTAAGCAGATTTTGAAAACAATTAGCAAAGAGATCGTAAATGTAATTTGTAATTTCCCCATATAACGGCTGCTTCTGGACCCGATTTCCAAGTCAAGCCAAAGCCAAAGCCAAGGCTTTAGATCAAATCCAACAGTAATTCCGGGGCAGACCAATCGAAAGCCACTGACTTTGACCTGACTAGCCATGGTTGTTGGCTTTTGGAGTAAAAAACTTTTCTGGCTACGGGCCTGTTGCGTCTAATCCACTTTACCGATCTTCCGACTCGTGCCACAAAGAAATCGTATCCATTTTTCTTGAGACATTCAAATCCCGATACGGTCACCGCCTAGGATACTTTATATCATTTCCACTCTCGATACGGTAGCTCATTGTCAGTTAGACGAAAAAATATAATCGAATTCAATCTCATCTCACTCACTTGAATCCCATCCCAGCCGAGTTTTGCTGAAACTTGGAGAAAAAGAATAGCGAAAATTAGGAGCACTTTCATTTTTTTGAGACCAATAAATAAAGCTTTGAGAAGGTCATTTTTCAGAGTCCTTAACAAAAGTTTTCAAAAAACTCATTCCGTGATTTAAGCGGATCTTTTGATAAATACGAAAGATGGGAAAATCCAATAGAGAATGAGCGGATTAAATTTGAAATGTTGGTATTAATTAGGTTCTTAATTTAGATTGTGGGAAATCTCTCTGAAATCTGCCAAAAATTGACGGAAATTTAATAAATTAGACTTTGTGGAAGCTCTTTGTCAAATTTTGATTAGTCTCTCAGAAAAAAAAACATGGATTTGTTTAATTTTTGAAGCATGATTTGTTGACATTGATATCAACTAATAACGGCTTACCGTAATACCAACAAGAAACGTCTATAGTATTCATTGGTACTGTGTAGGATTGTTTCAAAGTAAATCTTTCCGAACCAGGCTAGAAGTTAGGTATCGGCTTTGCTTCAGGTTTGATTTAAAAAGATCATTCCGGTAGAATCATATATCAATACGAACTCTTTCTTCATTTTCTCTTTTTGCTTTTCTTATTTTCGTGTCTTCATTCATTTGTGATTCCCACGTTTCCCCTTCCCTTTCTCCCTGAACTCATTCCTTTTCTTTTCCCCTTCCCTTTTCCATTCTTTGTTATGTCTACCAATTCTTTTCTCTTTTTTTGGAACAAAGATTTTCGGAAGAAAAAAAGAATGAAAAGTACCCTCAAGAAATGAAATGAAATGCTCTTCCCATTTTGTTAAACAACTATTGTTTTCTCCTTCCAAACTTACATCTATTATCCCTTGTAACTTTTAATCATCACTAGATTAACTTTCAAACGCTGAACTTTGTTGCTAAATTGTTGCTAAATGTTGCTAAATTTTACCCAATCGATTAACAAACAGTTTTTGTTGATCTCCGCAAAAAGCTAGGAAAAGAATTGACTCAAACTCTTGAAATAGAAAGAAAATCTTTAATTTCTTTTGTTTACATATTGTGTGCAGTGAATCGACCTTGAACCAATCGAGAGTTTTTCTTTGATTCGCCGCAAAAGTGACTCTAATAGTAGGATTTCGTTCTGCTTTCTGAATAGACATTCTTTCTACACTTCCTACATATTTCTATGTACGATTCTATTCATATTACAATAATAAAAACGATTCCCAGTTTGATTTTTTTTAAGTTTTCAGCTCTTGTAAAGTTTACGAGCTTTTTGAGGCCTCTCTTGTGATTTCCTTGAGTTTTACTTCATTTTTATATGTAAGCTGATATTTTTAAAAGAACAATTACAATCAGTAGAAAAAAAAGATCCATGATTATTCTCTTAAAAAAATATCAACTTGCAAATAAAAATAATAAAAAGAATAAAGGCCTAAAAAACCTCGTAAACTTTGCAAGAACTACTACAACCATCACTACTACAACCACTTTAACTACTACAACCATTAACCATATCCACTTTTATTTTTCTTTTACCCACAAAATCTCTCCACTTCATCAATCTATTCACCTTTCAACAAATTACAATCGATTTTCCAATTAATTCGTTTCTTGGCCAGTGTGAATTATTGAGTTTCACCTCAAAAAAGAATGTAAAAAAGGAAAAGTGGAAGAGTCTTTGAGCAATCACTATCACTCGAACACACTTTGAACGTTTGAACCTTGAAATTTCTTAAGAAACCACAACTTTTAACTAATCAAACCTGCACCAAACCAATACATAAAAACAAAAGAATAAGCATTTTGTGAAAGATTTGACTGTTTCATATCTTATTGATATCTTTATTCAACGTGAAGGGTATTAATGGGAATGTCTATTTTTGGAAATAATATTGTTCAAGATATTTATTGAACTCAAAATGGAAACTCTTGTTTTATGATACAATCCGGTCGGAGTTTCGGCTGAATCACGAAAAGAATGAGATGATATTTTGACATGAGAAACCCTAAATTATTTGCTTTTTGAAAAGGAACTTGTTTTCAGAATAAAGGTACTAAAGTTCGACTCAAGATTGCTCCAAAAGTCACTTTTGTAGCTTATGGCTTTTCCAGATTTGAAATTTTTAAGTTTAGATAGTTCAAATCTCTTGTCAGACACTTTTTACAGTATGCTGGAATGAAATTCGGCCTTGTTTGCTGAATTTGCTGAACTTTTATCCCGGATTACTGTAATGAAACCTTACATCCTTAAACTTATGTAACGATAAGTTTTGATGTAAATCTTCGGAACAACTACTGCATAAGTAATGTTCAATCTTTCCTCGTGGCATTTGTCTTTAATTGTTTGTTTGACTTCAATTTGTTTTACAATAATCTATTTTCCTCTCACAGGGTCTTTTTCGATTGCTTATAACTTGAAAACAGATCTGTAATATTTATTTCCTTTTCAGATGAGGGAGTCCAGGTGGTCGTTGGGATCGGGGGCAAATCAGCGGGTAATATTTAATTTATCCATTTACTTTTATTTAGCTCACCGTTTAATTTGTTTCCGGCTCATTCATCGAAAAATACGACCCAACCATTGAAGATTTCTATCGAAAGGAAATTGAGGTAATTTTTACCTGCAAACCGTCTCAATTTATTTTTTAGGCTGATGGTCAACCATGCGTTCTCGAAATCTTGGATACAGCGGTTTAGGAGCAATTCGCATCGATGCGAGATTTATACATTAAAAATGGACAGGTTATTTTTTAGTGCGCTTCTCAAATACGACATAATGCAGTTATGATTGATCTTGTTTTAGGGTTTTGTCGTAGTCTACTCAATAACAAGTCAACAAACTTTTCACGATATCAAAACGATGAGGGAGCAAATTATCCGAGTTAAAGTAGGTGATTGTTTATCTTTTGGATATATTCTCTTTAGGGAACCGAACAAGTGCCTATTCTTTTGGTTGGAAATAAATGCGATTTAGCTCATCAAAGACAGGTAAAATTTTAGGCTTTTAAAAATTTTATTATTTCTAGATTCGAACAGAAGAGGGCTTGGCTTTGGCCGAATATTGGTCATGTCCTTTCACCGAATGTTCAGCAAAAATGCACATAATGTATGTTTGTTAGGCTTCTGAACAACCATCAAACTAGAACTAAACCTTTAAAAAACAATATTTACAGGTAAACGTCACATTTGCTGAAATTGTCCGCGAGATGAACTATGTACAAAACAGAGCCCGACAACGTAAAGGATGTTGCAGTATACTTTAAGGTTTGAAAGTTTAATTGAACATCTTCATTGACAAATCTATTAGGAGTTCATTCGTTCTATTCACCCCTATGGCGGCCTTCAACTAATCGAGCTGCTTCGAGAACATTTCCTTTTTCTAGCTTCTCTTCCTTTGCTCTCTTTGACTTCCAATTTCTACACATCAACACAGGTTTACTTTTCGTCTAAATTTTTGCTTATAAAGTATTGTCTTTTGCTTTTTAATCTCCAACCAAGTCCCAGCTATCCCGTTGAAAGAAATATTTTCCAGTTTTACCTCTTTGTGTTTTCCTTTCACTCTGCTTAAATTGAAATTACAAAGTCAGCTCAAATTTCCCTCCTATAAAAGATTAGAGTGTACTATCTCCGAAATTTCTGATGTGTAGTATATCAGTGCCCAGAATATTTTTGTGACCAATAGTGACCAAGGATTCCTACGTGAAAGTAGGAGGCTACTTTCTTCTGTAAACTTTGTGATAATTTAGCAAAAACGGATATGTTGCTGGTGATGTTGGCGCAAAGAAAGCGAGGAAAGCATTGGGATGAAATCACTCGTTTAGACGCTGAGCTCAAAAAGAAAAAGTTACCTACATTTATGCGAACTTATATTTATTCATTTAATTTTTAGTGCTCCCAAGTTCGACACGCCTGGTTCGTCAAGTGACCCAAATGAATCACTTATGTCGATGATGAAAGAACTTGATGACAAGGGGGATGATGAAATGAAAAGGTTCATTATTAATATCCGATTTACTATAATAACAGTATATGATATACTATAACATTTGAAGCATTTATTTCCACTTGCTCCCATACCACACATTTTAAAACCCTTCGTAAAGCTTGGCACGAGGGTCAACAAAAGAAACACACCGATGGTCGAGCCGATTCATAGTTTGCTTTCATTCTTTGTTATCTTTATTACTTTTAAAATACCGGTGATGTGATAAAAGTTTCAGCGTTGAAAAAAGTATACAAGGTGACTCTACCCAGTTATACACAATCAAATTTCCAGAAGATATCATTAAAGAATCTTTCTATGAAAAAACAGAACTAGTAGAATATTTAACGTTTCGTATTCATTAATCTGCAAAATGTTTCGAGTTTGAAATCATTGTAGTCGAGACGAGTTTCATTTGTTGATGAGAGGAGAGTTCTTGAACGCGATGAGTAGATCGTGCATTTATCAGGAAGCCCCGTAGAGGCGTGTCAAAATATTCGATTGGGAATTATATAGTTATAAGTGGCCTAAATAGATGAATTGTAAATAAAGAGTCCAAAGGAACGTTTTCACATACCTGTGGCAATTGATCCGTCAAGCCGGGGTTGTAGTCGACACGCTCTTGACTGCTGATCGGCTAAAGAGAAAGTTTAGAAAATAAAAAAGAAAGACAAAGACACCTGCATCATATTTTGTTCTTCAACCTTTTCTGCCGATTGCATCGCTTTGACCTGTTGAATTTCCTCCAGAGAGACGGGTTGAGCTAAACAAATCTTGCTAATATATAAACCACCAATTCACAATGTATTACTCACGTTTCTCCTTTTCCTTTTCTTTGTTGTTGAGAATAGGTCGGACGACAGCTGCTCTTCTCCCAATCCCATTGATCCGTGAACTAAACAAAGACCAAGTAAAATTAAGAATTCTTTTAATTAACATTTAATTTGAAGGATTCTTCGGCCATCTACTCGTTCAGCAAATCGGCGAAGTTCTTGTAGTTCGGACCGGTGTAGTAGTTGAGCTCACTAAATTTGTGATGAATGAATTCAAGTCAAAACCAAACCGAAGGTGTTCGGCGAAATCGAGGAGTTGAAAGGGCTATTGTGGAGTAATATCTATCGGCTATTGAAAAGCACACTCCCCCATTTTCAAAAAGAATTGAATAAAATAAAAGAAATTTCCTTTTATTCACCTGTTATTCAGAGACCATTAAAAATAGGAAAAATGTCAGCAATCTAAGAACAAAATTGTACAAAACTCAAGAAAAACCCTCAAAATTGGATCATTTCCGATTGCGGTTGAACGTAGAAGGCGTAAAATTCGGTCCATAGACTAGAATTGTACCGCTTGGGTAATGCATTCAAGCATGTAGACACAATCCCCGCTCGAGTCAATGTTTCGTCGAAAAAATAGAGCGTCCTTGAAATCAAGCTTCACCCCCCTCCGACCAAGTGTTCGGTCGCCATTTTGATGACTTCTGGCTCATTTGTCCGTCGAATCGCTCCATTCCAGGGAATTGTGAAAGAAAATCGAGGATTCGGGGAATCATCTCCAGGGATTCAACAGAAGCACAATAAACACGAACAGCCGCCTTCAAATTCTTGCTCAGCATTCTCTTTTAACGATTAAATGCACGGCCTCTTCAAGATGATCCTCTTCCATGTGCGATGTGCAATAATTTGATCGAAGTCTTGATAAAAGCATCCAAGTAGAATTGCAATCCGGAGTTAAATTCTGAGTTCAACAAAGAAAACTCATCACATACAAGGCAGACTTCTTCACAGTCATTCATCTGAATTGTAATGAAATTCTCAAAAGCTCCCTGATCACTTGATTTTCTTCGAACAAAGCGTGAATATCATGCACCTCTAATTTAACCGTTTTTTCAATCTTCGAGTGGAAATTCTCAATTAATTTCAACAAGGACTTTCTTCCGTACCTCGAGATTCAAATATTTCTCTGATTTCAATTGATTCAGAATGATCGCGTGTCCGTCGGTAAAGTTGGACTTGCTCTTGTCATCGACCGTCCTCGTCGTCCTCGTCGTCGTCGTCCTCGTCGTCTTCGTCGTCCTCGTCGTCTTCACGTCGTCTTCGTCGTCTTCGTCGTCTTCGTCGTCCTCGTCGTAGTCGTCCTTTATCAACATCGACAATTGGTCCACGCTTGATTGGATTCGTTCAATCAATGGAAAGTGGAGATCGGCTCTAATTGCATCCCGTGAGGTGAGGAAAGGATAGTGGGAAGAACCTTTCCCCAGGCCGATCTCTCCGCCTACATCCAAATCTCGCGCACGTGATTCCCAAAAACTATCCAAGGTTTCCACAACAGTATCGATCGAATCCTACGTTCGCTTTGACCAATTCAATCGTCGCATCCCCTCTGGGTTCCCATTTGCTCGAAGATCTCTAAGCTTTAGGTCTGTAGCTAGCCTTCTCCATTGGGAATGACCTGAGCTTTCGCATTTCGAACCGCATTTTTGCTTAGCGTCATTCTACCTAAATGAAAAACAATTAAATTTCGGCGCACTGGAAATAACTAGATAATTGGATTAAAAAGTTGCTAGAAGGGAAATTCTCAATAATCGCGCCAGGTCTAACTTTGCTCATCAACCGTTATAATGGTCATGAAAAATTTCAAGCACAATAAATATTTATTACATATCCCAGTCTTTATTAATCTCGCGCCCAATGTCCATCAAAAGGTTTGGGTTTTGTCCCCCAAAAGCTTTGCGGTATGATGAGTTCTTATCATCCGTAGATTTCTTGCGTTTTGAATGGTGATTTTTTCGTCGTTACCTAAAAATACCGTTGTTTTCACTAAATACAAATTGTTTTCTTCCAAATAAATTGTAAAAAGGACTTGCCAAAGTGAATTTGATGAATAGATGGATCCCAGGGTGTAATTTTCTTTTCCTCCTTGGAAGTTTTATCTTGTTTCTTTGGCTTCTTAGAACGTTCCTTTGCCTCCTTGGGAGTTTTCGACGTCGGGATTTGATCGCGTCTCGAGCTAATGCATCTGCCTAAGAATTAGGAAAATCAATCAAAGTAAATTGGAGGAAGAACTATATAAATCATTTTGTAAATAGCATATTCAAAAGCATTACATTATCGTTTCCACAATCATCGGGAATTTGGGGACGTGACTGTACCCATTGCATAGTGACCGTCCTTTCGGAAAACATCTCCAAAGAGACGCAATGATTTGTAAACTGAACGCAAAATGTAAGAGCAATACAAATGCAACAACAAACTTTTTGGTATCCTCCTCTGTCGAACCGATGGTCCTACAGCAGAATCTGTTTCTTCTGCGAGTTCTCCAGATTCCCCAACCAATGCATCGAGTTTAAACAATCCCGTCCATTGCAATCACCTGCTGGACCCTAGATCATCAAAAACTTTTTTACACACAAAATTGCCGGTACTTATTATTATTGTACCAAATGAATAAAGCTTACTTGAATCCTCCCCAAAATATAAGGTCAGTGAAGGGCGACATTCATCGCCAGCAGTTCACCAGTAAAGGCAGAGCTCCT